CTGAGGGTCAAATCAATACTCCGCCCCAGATCAACAGGACAAAGGAACCTCATTGGGGTGGACTCTAGCCAACGGTATGCAAGAGCTGACTACACGGTCAGCTCACGTGGACCAATCGACTCCTGACGTTCGAATCAAGTGACCAATAATCACTTGGGTCTGTAAGTGGCCCGCATAAATCGCACTGATGATGTCGTCTAACCTGACGATGAAACGTTTGCAGCCAAATCAGCCAGCTCGGAGAACACCCGCATACCCTCATTTTCAGACTACTTATACAGATTCAGTAGATTATCCTTAAGCACGCTTTCGCGTAAAGGTCGTTGAAGTCCGATTACAGGTGGGACTGGAAACTCGGAGGGTGGCCATTTCAACCGGCATCGCACAGGAAAAGAGATCATACCCACGGAATTTGTAAGCGAGCTGCAATAAGCAGTCCTTTTAATTATATAAGAGGAGCTCTGCCGCTGACTCCGAGTACCAATGTTCCCAATTGCAAAGGCTGGGGTGAACTATGGAATAATGCACTGCATTAACAGCTACGTGTACAGAGGCAGAGATAGGCGGAGCTGATTAGCTAGCTGACCGAATAACCTCCCTGTGGTGCCATCTGTGTGGCTCGAGTTTAACCAGTTCCAGCAAATAATTTGGCGGCAATGTTCCAGGACGTGGTGGGTTTTCGCCTGGCAAGCGTTCTCATTATACAGTCACAAATGTCTGCTTAACAAAGCTGTGACGTGGCGGATGTGACTCGCCACTAAGTAAAGTCATTGCCCAAGCTTACGCTGACAAGCTTATCAAATCCACAGACGTCAAACACTTCTTCAGACACCGGCGACGCGATCGAACTCATTCAAAAGAACAGCAACACATTTACAAACACAAGCAACACACCTACCTACATTTATGGATCCACATATATGAAAATCCTACTATGTTATTGTACATTTCTTGATCAGTTGTTGTACTATTCTTATGATCATGCCTTTAATGGCGCGCCTGTTGTGAGGTGGTTCAGGGTACAGAATTTGATGGGAATAACGACGGCGATTTGGTAGCTCAAGATGCCGAAACAAGGCAGAGTTAGAACTAAATCGAGCGGTGCATGAACATGAACAGAATTTCGAACAACAGCATCGTAAATACCTCATTGGTTACGGTCTAGAGTAGAGTAAAAAAGCAAAAAGCGATAGCCGTTCCAGAACTGAAGGCGTAATCAAATTACCACTGAGGGCGGAAGTGTCAGTTGCCTGAAAAATAAAACGATTGATTCAATGCCCTGCGATTGTCTGGGGAAGAGAAAATGCGCATTGCACAGAATAGAGGCAGCCAAGTCAGGCACGGGCAAAAAGGATAGTAAATGTAGATGGGGAAAATCCGTGATTCAAGTCCGTTATTCGACGCAGCTAAGTTGCTCTAGATGGTAAACGAGCGCATGAGCGAAGCGAGAATTTGCAAAGTTACCTACGCCAACAAGAGAAGTACATCGGAGCTGTACGCCGGACAGGGCGCATTTCCCGTGTGTTACACATCGGAGAATGCGCTCTCCCCGTGAAGCTGATAGCAATGCGCAAGTTTCGCCTGTGGAGGGTTTCGGTGTGGCTCTCTCCTATCCATGCACTCCACGACCGACGGTTTCGTCTATGTTTAGACTCATCAGGTAGAGATAGCTGAGGTAGGAGTGGACCTCGGCGCACAGTGTTTGGCGGCTATCGCCACCATTATCACTAGGCCATTGAGTTCCGCAAGCAGTGTTTGACACAGCGGTTAGAAGTAGATTTTCGGGTTTTTTGGAGCACCCGCCGTGTGTCTTGGATTGCGACGCGCAATCTCACTAGTGGCGGCGGTTGATTTTGAAGTCAGCCTCTGCCAATACGGTCACTGGGACCGTCACCGAAGTGGAGGGTTTCGGTGTGGCTCTCTCCTATCCCTGCACTCCACGACCGACGATTTCGTCTTTGTTTAGACTCATCATCATCATCTACTTCTAACCGCTGTGTCAAACACTGCTCGCGGAACTCAATGGCCTAGTGATCATGGCGATAGCCGCCAAGCACTATGCCCAGAGTTCCATTCCTAGCTCAGCTATCTCTACCTGATGAGTCTAAACAAAGACGAAACCGTCGGTCGTGGAGTGCAGGGATAGGAGAGAGCCACACCGAAACCCTCCACTTCGGTGACGGTCCCAGTGACCGTATTGGCAGAGGCTGACTTCAAAGTCAACCGATGCCACTAGTGAGATTGCGTGTCGCAATCCAAGACACACGGCAGGTGCTGCAAAAACCCGAAAATCAAGTTTCGCCTGCTTCGCAAGCGGGAGGAATAAGCAGGCGCAAGAAAGCAGCGACGGCCCCTTAGAACGCTGAAGGCCCTGAGCTGGCCACCTTGATCCCACTAAATATTACAAAAGATCGTGTGGCACTGTGCTAAATCCGCCTATAAAGTTACCAACAACCCACCCTTGCAATGACAGATGAGTATGTTACAAGTGACGAAGGTCAACGGCTTTTGTGCGAACTGTCATTCGAATAGTAAGAAGAATTACCGGTCAGTTGACAGTCAAGGGGCTTGAGGTGTGGTGGCGGGTTTGTTGGTCAAAGAAATGATTACTGACCTACGTTATGCTATGCTACGGTCCTTTGTAGTGGTACAAGGACACAACGGTTCGCGGTAAACGTAAATCGGTCCGCTGCCAAATGGCTTGGGTCTGTACGGCCTAGAGCTACAGGTAGAGTTTCTAAACCAATTCTAATCTTTGGGAAACTTTATGTCTATATAACCTACGGACCAGTGAAATGCGGTACGTACAAAGATGATAACAAAATGACACATAGTGGAAGTGGGTACAACCATAAGGGAGCAAAATTATGAGACGGACAGGCCGCACGATAAAAATACCTCAATTAAGAAACAATCTCCATCGAAAGGCGATTTCAAAGAACTCGTGGTGTGGATGGATTGCGACACACAGTCCTTATCAGAAAGGCAACGTTCGACCATCGCTGCTTTTGCAGCAAGACTTATGTCTGGTGGGAACACCGCATGAGCAATGTATGTATTCGGCGTCGCGTATTTGGTGCAGGAAGAGCGAATGCACCGCTCGGCACTGTTATATCACGTACCAGGCTCAGATGGTTGGGCAATGTATTGCGCATGCCAGCACACCGACTTCCGCGACGTGCAGTGTTGGCGCCCCCGAAGTGTGGATGGAGGAGGAGAGGAGGCCAAGTGATGACTTGGTCGAGAGGAATGAAGACCCCAGCTGCAAAGTTGGCGTCGGTTGGTGTATCCCGACTATGGAACGCGCGTGGTTGGATACACTTGTTGACAGGACTAAAAGCGCACCTCAATTGCGACCTCATAGCGTGCATAATTTAGCAGTATATTGCACACTTTTGGAGATTTTTCAGTCCCCAATGTTTAGTGTCTTATCTTTTTGTAGTGTGGCGTATAAGCTGTGTTTCGCGTAATGATGACGATGATAGACTGTGATTCGTTTTGGAGTGAACGTCGGTCAATTTGGTTACTGAGACCGTAGTTGACTAAACATACAAATGTTAAGTGCTAGCACCTCGCAATATTGCACCCCACGACCGGATTGGTACTAATTTGTTCTCATCAGATGGAGACAACAAGACTTTTTGTAAGTAGTAGGGGGATTTATTAGGTTTTTGCGTAGATTCGTCGCAGTTAGACACAGACAGACAGCCACCACACATCCAAGAAAGCGCTAGACGGCCGTTTCGTCCTATTGGGACTCGTCAGTAGCGCGCACCCGCCGAATCCTGCCGGATTCGAACTCACGACCTTACTCTAGCGAGTCAGCGACTTATGTCACAGAGCCATGGGCAACGGCAGCGGACCGCCATGACTGATATCTAACTGCGATATAGCGCGGCTCATCCTCCACTGTCTTGCATGTTATGATGTGCGACGAATCAACGCAAAAACCCTATAAATCCCCTACTACTTACAAATAATCAGTAGTTGCCTTAGCAGCATACTTGCCACCTCGATTGGTGGCGGCTTGCAAAGGAAGTCGTTGCTCTGGGGGCCAGCCCTGTCCTCTGCACATCATAACATGCAAGACAGTGGAGGATGAGCCGCGCTATATCGCAGTTAGATATCAGTCATGGCGGTCCGTTGCCGTCGCCCATGGCTCTGTGACAAGTCGCTGACTCGCAAGAGGAAGGTCGTGGGTTCGAATCCGGCAGGATTCGGCGGGTGCGCGCTACTGACGAGTCCCAATAGGACGAAACGGCCGTCTAGCGCTTTCCTGGATGTGTGGTGGCTGTCTGTCTGTGTCTAACTGCGACGAATCTACGCAAAAACAACAAGACTGCTTTGTGCTGAGTTCGAGTCGCGAGTCTGTTATCCCTACCTGTTGTGTTTCTGCCGACGACAAGAATAACGGAAACAATCAGCCAATTCGCAAATCAAAATGCCTTTGGCAACATCTGTATTGAGCACCCAGCAAACAGTAGGTATGGCCAAAGATGGGGTCATGGGAGAAGGAAATAGCTAAAAGTTCCTGGGTTCCAGCAAGTACTAGATGCCTGAAAATTCGCTTGCTGGTTGCCTAAAGAGTGCGCTCATTGGGGGGCTTCAGGGTAAATCTTTTACATTGGTAGACTGCAAGGTGAAACGATATAAGTAACTAGCCAATTAACTTCACGTTGCGTCAGACAAAACTTCTACGGACTGTTCGAGAGAGGACTGGCTTCAAGTGCAAATCGGTAAGAAACTGGTCGTAGAGCGAAGTGCGGCGAGTGAAGAACGCTTAGAATTTATCTTGTGAAATATAAGCGCAATTGAGCTAGCGGAGAATGTAGTGGAGGAGAAAGTGCAGAACAAACAAGCGTTGCAGATCACAGCTCAATCAATCGTCATACACAAAGGAACGCAGGTATGGGTAGTGTGCAAAATCATGGATATAAGGAACGGAACGAGAAATCTACTCAAGAAACCGATACGATAAGTCACGAAAGAGAGAAGCATACGCGAAGATAGAGCGACCCGCAACCCTCAAGGTCCAGTACACACGTGCCGTCCGCGTGCAGCTGACGAAAAATGGACTCCAGGCATTTTGACATCACCATGTACCCTTGTTCGTCTGCGCTCTTGCCCAGGTGAGTGGATAGAAAGCCACATTCCTCCTCCCAAGCGTGAAAATAACGGTTGATTTTCAGGACCAATGCTTCATATGCCGCGTGAATCGGCAACCGTAGACCACCAACGGGTTGATCGTGCCAAAACTGCCAACGTGTCACATCGTCTAGGGATGAGCACGGTTTTGGCTTAAGCACCAAACATATGTTGAACTGCAACGTATTTCTCTGATACTGGTCGCCTTCAATGCGCTGCGGGCACCCGATAACATAGTGCTGGAAGGCATCTACGGTGATCAAACGAAAAGCCAATTCGGCCCGAGGAAGAACAACATTGCTGATTTCCTTGAATTGAGCCTGTTAAAAGCAACGTAACACGAGAGGGGTGGTGAAACGGTATAAAATGAGGTCAATCATCTGTACAATGAGTGGTTGATGGATTGAAAACCGCCACTGCAAGTTAGAAATCGATAAATCCAAGAAGGGGACGCAACGTGCCGTGAACACTAAGAAATGCGACAGATGAACTTATGAAATGTTGTAAGAGAAACGAACAAAAGCGGCGATGGAATGAAGTTCGTATTGGCATCTGGCCGTCAGCCATGTAGTATGAAGAAGTATTTGTAAGAAGGAACAAGAAAAACGGCAAGCCACTCAGGATAGCGAAAACCAAGACTTGCACGTTAATCATACAATGTGAGATGGTAATGGAGCATCAATGCATGGCTTTCTGAACTGTCCTAAGGATGATACGACGTTATTTGCACTTATCTAATGACTGGCAAGTGAGACCCCCTGCGTCCTCTGACTCTCAAAAGCAACGCCCTGTGACAATGGTGTATCATAGCGAGCGAGTCACACATTTACGATCGTGGAAACGACAATGTCTGCACTGACATTCGATGCGTCACCATTTTCTGTAGTGGTGCACCATGACAATTATGGAATAACTGCCGTTCACTGTGATACGCGGAGGTCTGATGAGAAATGTTCCGACTCGTTGGCCCAATATGAATGTGACTTCCTCAGCGATTCACCAAGAACACCAGTTTGAGGCAAACAATTGTTTTCAATGACTCATCTACGGGCCGGTACAAATCATAAAAGGTTAAAATAGGAAGGTTAATACATGGTGATTGGTTCAGATGTAGGTCAATGGCTAGACAGCAGATAGTCGCTGTCATGCACACACACACATACATACAGGCCGATAGGGGTTGCATAATCAAAATGACGACGCCGGTGTCAAGGAGACGGTTAGGTTGACTGCTGTTCGATCAGGGCAGAGTCAGCGGTTGAACAAAATTCTTTTGCGAGCAGATCAAAGATTGGAATATTCGGGTCGCAATAGATTCTGCTCTGGTGAGCATTCGTAGACGCAAACCTTTAGACTTGTTCAAGGGGACCTAGTAAACTACAGTAAATGCATTCGAAAAGTTAACCTTGTGACCTGACCCGAATAGGTGGAACCAAATTTCGCATGCCAAAACGCTAGTGCCTCCGTTCGCCAACTATTTAGGACTACCTTCCTTAATGCGATGTGACAACTGGCGAGCTGGTCGACCTATATATGTTCCAGGACGCAACAGTGTTCTAAAACGTGTTGGGTTTACGTATGGCAAGCGTTCTCCCTATAAAAGCCACATGTATCTGCTTAACCCTGCGACGTGGTGGATGTGACTCGCCACTAAAGTCTCTGCCCCCTCTTACTCGAAGATAGTGTATACCGGCAAGCGATCCGAGCATCGGATTCTGCCTTCTACTTTAGAAGTGTTGTGTTCCCGGTATGGGGCTTTTCGCCATCCGAAAGGCGTATGAACTAAATGTTCAGTCACCGACTCCCAACGGGTGTGCAACCTTTATCTCACCCTGCTGGATTGTAGGTTGGGCCTTTTGGCCAATGGCTCGGGGCCGTGGTCCCCTATGACAACCCATCTACTTCGGCCTAGGCAACCGGGTAGTATCTCGACTACTGGAGAACCAGGTAAAGGAATTTAAGTACACGCGCTCACCCTGCTAATGGATTTGTCTTTTGCTACTGCTACTAGTACTTCTCAAATACACGCTACCTACTTATCTACAATTCCACTGTATCATCCTCCCGCGCTTTCGTCTAACCCCTCAACTATGAAAAGCATCGCGATCTCTGATGAAACTGTCGTTATACCAACCACACACCTCCAAACCGAGGTAACACAATCCAATATTCTTCCCTCTCCGATTCTTCAACCCAAAACACAGTTCAATTTGGGAGTGTTCAACGTGCGTACCCTAATGCAGATTGGGCAAAAAGCCGGTCTCGCACGCAGTCTGGAATTTCTTGCAATAGATGTGTTGCTTATCTGAACCCCAGCCAAGGCTCCAACACAGTCTACTAACTGTCATCACCCACACACCTGTTTCCTCCTTCGCCTTTCTGGCGACGCCGAATCCACTGCAGCTGGGCAACCCGGTGTTGGGATCGCGCTTAGTTCCAGAGCCGAAGCCACCCTTCTTGACTGGATTTCCATCAACAGTAGCTTCTGCGCTATGCGACTCCAAAGCTCATCCAAAGTTAACAGGCGTCAAGAAGACAAACGAGGACTTTTTGTTATCTCCGCTTATGTGCCCACTGATTGTAGCCACGATACAGTCAGACTTCTGTCAAAACCTTCGTGACCTACTTCTAATGGCCCCCAAAACGGACATCATTGTTATGACGGGGAGTGCAACGAGTGTGTTGGTCGTTTGCTACCAAACGTACACCATCTCGGAGCTCTACATGGATAGGACAATGATCGCACGAATAATGGAGAAAAGCTGCTCAGCCTATGCTCGGAACACCAACTTTACCTATCCAACTTGAACTTCCGCCACCCGAGACGCCACTACGCTACCTGGCGTGCTCCATCATCGCAACATTGGTCGCAGATTGACCACATCGCCATAAGTCGCCGGTGGCGTGGCAGTGTTCGAGACTGCAGATCTTATTGGTCGACTTGTAACCAATCTCATCATGCGCTGGTACGTGTGACGGTATGCATGCGCTTTGGTGGCCCGCCTAAAATCAAACAAAGTCATCTGGACATTGGAAGACCCAGCTGCTCAAGCAGAATATCAACGGATGCTCCGGGACAATCTCACTTTTCCTCCACCACTGAACGTTGGCCAACATTGACTGCGTTTACAATAGGTCATGTATTCTACGACTCTGTCTACTTGTGGTCTTGTTCGTTCAACAGCTAAAAGCTGGATCTCGACGACATCGTCGGAATTAGTTGATCGTTGGCGATCCTTTCCCGTCAGTGTGGGGCACACTGAAGTCCGACAAACCATTTCTCAACAACTAAAAGCAAGTCATTTTCGCGATCGAGAATCCTGATTGTCCAATCAAGGCACGGAAATGCAAGCTACTGCTGCTTTTGGAAACACCCGCAGATTACATTTTACCTCATCAGATCCACCGGATGCAAATCACATGCCAACAGTGAGAAAATCAGCGCGTCAGACGGTACGAGGATCACTAATCTATGCAAAAGTCCGGATCGCTGGGCAGAACACTTCGCTCTTTAATTTAATTATCCGATTCAACCACCGGTGACATCCCCTTTGCTATTTTGTGGTGCATGGCCCGTGTGCACAGATCCTCCCACCGAGGCTGAGATTCGGAGAGAAATCCAGACTCTGAAACAATACGAAGTCCCAGGTCCTGACAGCCGTCCTCTGGCCCCATTCAAAGATGGAGGAAATACAGTTACTAGTGAACTGCTCTCTTTTTAAGAAAGCGTGGGTCGATAAGAAGGTTCCCAACCCATGAGGCGAATTTATCGTGGTCCCGATTTACAAGAAAGGCTCCCGCAACGATTGCACCAACTACCGAGGAATATCACTCATCTCGGTCGTGTCTAAAGTTTTGTATCGATATTACTCCGCAGACTCAGCTATTCGAGAGTTTGTCTCGCGAGGAACAAGCCACCTTTAGCAGCGGTCGGCGATGTGCCGACCAGATCTTCACACTGCGTCAAATTCTCGAACATCGTCACATCCACCGAAGACCAACAATAGTGGTTTTTGGACATCCCATAGATAGAACATCTCTTTGGAACTGTCTAAATGGGAATTTTCCAGTTACTGAAATCGTCCAAGCCGCCCTCAGTGGTGAAGGAGCTAAACCAGTTTCTTAAGTTCTCCACTAGGCTTGATGAGGCTAAAACTTGCGTTCAATTTTTCAATGATTGCATTGAACGCAATGAATATCCTAACAGATTCTGGAAGCAATTACGCCGCAGTCGGATCTATCCTAACGCCAAAACGCTTGGACGGCATGCTTTGAACCAGCGTGACACGGTGCAATCCAAAATTGCCGAATTCGAGCGCAATATGGCGCAGCGCCAGCATGCGATTGATGAGTTAACGTTGGACGAAAAGCAAACATGCCTGGAATATGTTCAGTCTATCACCGCAAACCGTGTACGACAAAGGCGTTTGGCCTTAACAAAGACGTTGAATCAGGTTAAGCCTCAATCTACTTTCCCAAGTAGACATGACAGGTACGTGCATAACTTTCAAGCCTGAAATCGAACTCTACTTTAATGGAAGTTCTATCACTTGGTCTAAAATTTTGCGCAAACCAGACACAGAGATAATCAACTGCACTGTGAGTTACAGTTTGAAAGCCTACTTCTTCAAACAAAAGGGTTAGCAGCAAAGTCTAATGAGGACTTGGAACATTTCAAATGTTCTCTGGTGAACAATTGCTACCAGTATCGTAAGTGCCATGTTCAAAATCATGGGCCACTGACACTCAAGCACTTTGATGCACTGAAGGATTTAAGGCGCAATGACAAGATCATCCTGGGCAAACCAGACAAAGGCACTGGGGACGTTCTATTGGACAAAGACGACTATGTAAACAAGCTAGAAAGAATTCTGAGTGATGAAACAAAATTTTCCCGAACAATTGGAGAAAAGGATCAAACGGAGCAAACCGAAAAGTAGATTACTAAGAGCTTGCAAGAGCTTCGGAATAGCGGATACATCTCAAATACTCTTTATGACAGCCTTAAGCCGAGTGGCACGAATGCTCCGAGGCTTTACGGGCTATCTAAAATTCAAAAGACTAATGTCCCACTTCGCCCAATTTAACAATGGTTAATTCACCGTACCATTCTGTTGCCCAATGGCTTGTAGAAATTCTTGAGCCAATAAGACAGCAACTTACACATTACAGCCTTCGTGACACTTTTCATTTCATCGAAAGTGTCAGGGACCGCAACATCAGTAAGAAAATGTTTTCTTTGGATGTCTCGCTTTTCCCCAACGTCCCACTTCTCGAGACAATTGATTACATTTGCACCTACATCAAGGAAACACAGACAATGATAGGCATACCATTGCATGCTTTGAAAAGTCTCCTTTTGCGTTGCACCTGGAACATACAGTTCCTATTCAATGGCACCTACTACCGTCAAAAAGATGGTGTAGCGATGGGATCGCCACTAGGTCCGCTGCTTGCTGATGTCTTCATGGCAAAACTAGAGAACACCAAACTACATGCGGAGATCACCACCTTTGATTGTTATCATCGCTATATGGATGACATATTTGTTGTGGCCGATCAGTCCACTGACATCGATGCTGTTACTGAACGCTTTAATCAGGCCCACGCAGCATTGCAGTTTACCTGCGAGAAGGAAGTGAACAACCGGTTACCGTTCCTTGATGTATTTTTAAGTCGTAGGATAGATGGTTCGATCCAACGGCACGTCTACAGAAAGAAAACCTGGAGTGGCCAGTATACGAACTTCCATAGTTTCGTTCTTTTGAGATACAAGCGAAACCTAATTCGCACTTTAACCACAAGGGCCCGCAGGATTTGTTCTGAAGACACGTTGGATACTGAGTTGGAGTTCATTCAAAATGTGCTGCGTGAAAATGGGTATCCTGATCGATTCATTAGTAAGAACATACAAGAAAAACCCGACCCTGTGCAGATTCTAACAGCTGAAAAGAAAGAAATATTTATAAGCTTACCTTTCAAAGGAGACGCAGCCGCCGAACGTATAGCCAGAAGCCTTTCTACAGCCATTAAATCAACTTTTCCAGCTGCTAAGCTCAAGTGTACTTTCTCAACGGAACCCCTCATTCGCATTTGTAACAAAGACAAATTGCCGATGCCTACCGCTTCTATGGTCATTTATCAGTTCGAGTGCGCCTGTGGCGCTACTTACATCGGTCGAACGGCTCAGCACTTGTCAAAGCGCATTAATGAGCACCTTCCACGCTGGTTGCGTCGAGGCGGTACCGGGGCTATAACTAGCTCTATTATGGCTCATCTAGTTGATAGTGGGCACGAAGTCGATCCAGTCCGCGCCTTTCGAATACTCTACAAGGTTCCGCCACTCCAATCGAAAGGCCTGCGCTGAGGCGATCAGTATTCGGTTGTATCAACCGCTTTTGTGTTCACAAAAGAAACTAATCGAAACTCTCAAGTTACCATGGCCAGAAAAAGTGGACGATTCGGAGGCCGGAAGAAATCTTTTGACTACATATTTGCCCTAGTGTGCGTTTATCGTTTAGGTTTATTGCTGGTTTATGCCCCCGGTTGGCACGTGATCCAATTTCATTTGAACTGATCGAAACCACTGTTACTTCCGTTGCTCTTTACCCATATGATTGTACAGGTCTGACGAGGAATTCATTGAAAACGATTGCTCACCTTCGGTCCCTTGTTCTTGATGTCTGCTAAGAAGCGGTGTACCCGAACAATTCGTTACAATCCTGAAAGAAACCTATCACCACACATTGGGTAAAGTTAAAGCTTATGAAAAACTTCCTTCGTCTGTTGCTGTTACCGTCGGAGTACGTCAAGATTGCCCGAGCTCATCATTCTTATTCAACTTGCCATCGATGATGTCCTCCACCGCGCTCCGGAAGGAGCCGAGAGCTGCGGTGTTGAGCTCCTCCCCGGGGACAAAGTTTCGGATCTGGATTATGCTGATGACATCGCGTTGTTTGGGGACGAACCAAAGTCCAACCAGAACATTTTTAACCGCTTAAGGATCAAAGCATCTAATTATGGTTATTACTTTGCCCCATCCAAGTGTAAAACATTGCTCCAAGATTGGCAAGTGCCGGTGTCAACAGCCACAACTGCAGGTGAATGTCTGGAGCAGATGAATCGCTTCATTTATCTTGGGAGTTGCATCACGGCGCGTGGCGATATTGGGGATGAACTGTCTCAGCGAATTGCTAAATCCCGCCTGGCGTTCACTAACCTGAGGCACTCGTGGCGCCGCCGCAACATCAGTTTAAGGCCCAAAAGAAGAATGTACTGTGACACTGTCCGTGCGGTCCTGCTGTACGGCTGCGAGACCTGGCCTGTCCGTGTAGAAGATCTGAAACGACTAGCATCTTTCGACAACCGCTGCTTGCGAACGATCGCTCGTGTGTGGTGGCAACACCACGTAAGCAACTCGGAAGTTAGAAGCCGAGTACTCGGAGCGAACAATCCCAGTCTCCAGGGTATTATTCTCGAACACCGTTTACGTTAGATTGGTCACGTTTTGCGCATGCCAACCAATCGACTTCCTCGCCGAGCATTATTTGCAATTCCTGGGCGTGAGTGGAGAAAATGCCGGGGTGGACAACCGATGACGTTGAAGAGGAACATCAAGAATGTCACCGCATGTTTGGCTTCATCAGGATCTGTCCGTCTTCCAGGTTGGGGACCACGTGATGGGGACTCCAAATGGCTGGAAGTTTTGGAGGCTATGGCTCGTAACCGAAATCAGTGGCGTCAATGTTGTTCAAACATTTCACTTTCATCCACATTTCAATTTCAAACAAAAAACACAAAACGACGTGTGTGAAATACAAAAATAAAACAAAAACAAACGAAAATAAGCCGTTTGCCTTTGTTTTTGAACTATCTTCTTTTTCCATGCCATTGCAGCCATGGTTCTGATGGCACATTTGTCTGTTTTCAGACTTGCGAATAAATATAGAAACATATATGGATATATATTCAACAAATGGCCGACAAACAATTGGCAGTGCCACAACACATGGGCAACAACAAAGTAAAGGGGAGAAAAGGCAGTCAAGAGAAGGAAACAAAGGTTTATGTGTTGTGTGGGCAGAAGATTCCCGGTTGCCAAGGTCGGCACCCTGATGATGTGCTTTGGTCCGATACCCGCAAGTGAAATCGTATTCCCGTAAATGTTTTAAATACCTTGCCACTTGACCCCCGCTCACGAATGATATGCAACCAATGAAGTAAAGGGTGGTTTATGCGAAGTTCGAATGGCCTCCTGGATGGGTACAACGCCGCAGGAAGTTAACCAGCACCAGTGATTCCCGCGGAATGGTGCTGTGCGTCTTCTCTTGCCTCCGCAAACTACGATTATTGCATGCGGCTTCGTCAGCCGGAGATTGAGGGGACAATAAGGTGCCGATTGTTAGATTGCCCACATCAGTATTTAGCATGAATGCACCTGCCGCCGACATGGCACATGTGGTGCAGTGCTAATGAAGTTGAGTGGCGTCACTGTTCCCCGCAGTTACATGCAAACGTAACGTAAGGTTTGGATGCGCTCGATTCGCCCGCCCGAGATCGTCACTCGTTCCAAGTGAGTTAATTACTCTTGGAACAACGGTGCGCAGTTATCGAGAAGCAAGTTACGGCCTAGCCCCAGCATGTTACTTCAATGTCATGCATAAATGCGTGACTGACAGGTGTTTGTCTTGTGGAAATCAACTGCACAAAGTGAGCGTGTGTTTCGTGGTGCACGTTCAGTGTACAGTCACTAAGCATTGTTCTAACGCTGGTATACATTCAAGTGGACTCAAGTGGAAGCTATGTGCGCCGGTGAAGCGTGATGTGGCCCTGAACCAGTGACAGCTTTGTTTCCTCAGGTCGACCAAACTGTGGGTGTTGTGTGGGTTATGAAACTGTCAGTGGCTGTGCAGCGAAAGACATCTACAATCCAAAGTATAAATGCACTCGCAGTAGTTGTTTCCGGTTAGTACTATGTAAATTCGATAGCAAGAGACCTAAATAGCAACAACGCAGGCATGGAAAGTAATTAAGAGCAAGAATATCACGATTAAGGCAGTGCAAAACAAAGAGCATGTTAAAAGCAGTGCAAAATTCAATTTACTGATTCATCCCAGCAGCTCACAAGCCATATAGTCTGGCCATCAATACAGATAAGCACAAGACTGCCGTTTCGCCCTGCTGGGGCTTGGCAGTGGTTCGCATCCTCCGGCTATATCAAGAACTGAACCCATGACCGCTAACAGCTTGCACCGCTATCCAGCAGCTTATGCCACTGAGCAATAAGGGACGAAGACAAACTATAATAACTCAGTTTAAACCCCCGAGGATAAGTGCAATTTAGGTGAGGCCTAACAATTTAACAGAACGGTAAGAATGCGGGTGAGAGAACTAAAAGTCACTGTAGCGTAGCCCAAGCGATCATAGAAGGGGATTAAATCCCGAGTTCAGCTGCAGTCGTAGAGGTCACGATCATAATTTCCGTGGGGTGTTTTTAGAGACTGAACTCACCGATGATACATAGTCTTCTGGAAATTGGTGAGAGATGACGGTACCTCGATTATTTTCAAAAGTTGCCAGAAATATGGCAGCAAGCTCCGAAGTTCGCACTCCAACCTGAAAAAAACTATTATACATGTGGTGCATAAAGACAAGTGACAACGCAACGGAATTGGTCTGCGTGAGAGCAAACGGAAAAAGAACACAAAATAGGCGAGTAAGTGTCCAAAGTCGCCTTGACCTGTCGACAAGGACAGAGAACCGACATTCATCCCAATCGTTCCATTTTATAAATTAAGATCAGGAGACAACAATGGAGTAGAGCGGCTGGCCTCCCATTGCGTCCCTGAGGTGTTAAGAAAACACTGGGATAGACTGAGTAAGATAAGCAAACTGAAAGTAGATCGGGAAATGGAAGAAAAATTAGAAGCAGATCAAGGGCACTAATGATGGAGTCTGGTTGCCAGAATTATCGAACATCATGTGAGCTGCAAGCAGTTGATGTACTCAGGCAGTATAGTGTATGCCTGATATACGAGATTCTAGCTGAAAAGTTGATTAGACGGATGTTCGGGCATAGTAAGAACATAACTAAATAAACTAGAGCATAAAGCGTAAACGAAGCATCCGGAGTGGACTGTGAAAAAACGGCGCTGTGGCATACTGGTTCCATAAATCCCAGATAGAAGTTGTACTCAGCTAAGTTTTATCAGGCGGCAGTAGATCGGCATACATACAGACGGAATTCCACGGCATGAACTCCGCTGCTGACTAAGTCAATCGCGTCTGCCTACGGTCCCGTCAGGCTTTCAAGGTTACACAAGAGAAATTCTTCGATATTTCTAGATCCAACGACCCGAGACTGGCACCATCCCCTGAATTCGCTGTAACAAGTAGGGTGTACTTGGCTATCTCTATTATTCTTTACATTTCAACTTTGGGAGCAAGCTGATGATGATTGTTGCTGAGGGAAGGTGTTGAGTAATGACTGACTTATAAAACTAGAACAACCAGACGATACATAGTTCGTATGGCCTAACGGAATCCTTGGACAACAGCCCCTGAATAAATTGATGCAGGGTACCGCATGTTTCGGTGTGTGATCTAAATCTTTGAAGTGCTACTGCATAACCGAGTGGATATGCCACCGAATTTTCTGTCAAAGGAAAAGAGATAAGCAAAACACCGGTGCGCCGCAGCGACGCTTCGCTGGAAACGGCTAATCGGTTCATCTGTGTGGATGGCAGAAGCCACGAGTGTCCAGACCATTGAACCGGCCGGTGACCGAAAAGACTTGTAGTGGTCGCGTGGCAGCAAAACGTCGGTACAGTGTGCCAGAGTACTGCTGATGCATTTCCTTTATTTTTTCCAAAACACTGAAGTAGTTGGTACTTGCACTGGTAAGACCTGAGGCGTTTCAAGCCACAATCGTTAAGGGAGACGGGGTTATATCAATGTATCAGCCGATAATAGAATGCATAACGCTACCGTGCGTTTAAGTTATGCAGTTCAGTTCAGTTAATGATAACAATAATAATGTGTTAGCTGTACGCCTTAAGGGCGCTTCGCTGCCGTGCGACCACCACCAGTCGAAAGCGGGCTGAGTATACCGCGAGGACGCCCACCCCTACACGGATTCAAACCCGCGCCGCAAGATTGCGAGACAAGCTCGTTACCTTTAGGCTACAGGCCGAAGAAGAACTGTGATCCAAGCATCGGAGTATGGTGGAGCCATTTTCCACGACTAATCGCAAGGATAACCATAAATAACAACGCCAAGATGGTGGGGTTGAACGCAAAGAAAATGCAAGCAGGAAGGAAGTGCAATAAATTAATCAGAATGGAAATTACAAATCAGATGAAAGAAAATGAATGCAGGAACGCCACTGACTGCGTGACTGCGCCAAGTGTGACACGGCCTCCAACTATTGGTGGGAACTGTCCTGAGGTCCCATCCACGAAGACGGCATGCACCCGCCTGATTAAATCTCTCGGTCAGTTTCTTCAAGCCTCTATGCCAAGTCATAGACTGACCACCTCGCGGTTTCGCCCAACTAAGTGTAGCCCCGGTGTATAATGCACGCTGAGGAAGCCAGTCAACAGGCATACGGAGGACATGGCACAGTCAACGAATGCGTTTAAGATTCAGTAAACCCTCGAGTGAAAGACCAGATGGCCTATTGCCAAAAAACCAACTAGCGGACCACAGCGTTGCTCACCCGGTGTTCCCACCAGACGTGAGCAATACTCCGCAAGGACCGGTGGTCAAACACGGCCAAGCGTTTAATGTCTCCGTTACCAACTGGCCAGGTCTCTGATCCATACAGTAAGACCGGCCTTACCGCAGCGTTATACAACCTACCTTTCACTGACATGCTGATATCCCGCTGTCTCTATGGATGGTTGAGTCTCTGGAAAGTCACACGGGCCTTGTTGGTACGCAAAGTAACTTACTCAGTGACGTGACTACCAGAGGTAATACAGGTATCAAGGTAAGGAAACCGATCCACCACTTCCAGTGGCTAATCGGTGATGGCAAGAACCGGTGTGTCGGTCTAGTCCTAAAGCAGTACTTTAGACTTTGAAGGTGCAAACTACATGCCAAAACGTGCGGCGCTACACACAAGTCTGTGCAGTAGTGTTTGCATAGCCACTGCGTCAAACCCAAAAAGAGCAATGTCGTCCGCATACTCCAGGTTTGTCAGTCGGTCACCTGGTAGAACTTCCACTCCGGTAGAGTCTGAAAGAACAGTCACTTATGGTCATTTCGATAACAGTTGAAGAGGAAGGGAGATATAGGACAACCGTGACGGACGTACTTGTCGTGGGGAGCTCAGGAGACAGTTTCCCCTAGATCCTTACACGGCCTCGGGAGTCACGGTAAAGAATGCATAATTGGGACGAAATTAAACCGGCATGCTCTTCACGAATAAGCAGCGCACTAGCTGTCTCGACCAACAGATTCAAAGACGGCATTCAAATCAAGGAAAATAGCCATAGGCGGTCGTCTGTATGTGTTCTTGCTCTAAAACTTGGCGAGAGTAAACATATGGTCGATGTAACAACAGCCAAGGTGGAAACCAGCCTAGTTTTCAGTGATTCGCTCTTCACGGGGACCAGCAAGTCGTCGGAGAAGGATACCCGTGGGAAGTTTGGAGGCGATGGAAACAAGCCTAATGAACCGACCATTTTCTCACAAAGTACGCTGACCGTTCTTGAAGATGGGCATGACAGTTGATAGTCGCCAGTCTGAGGGCACTTCATCAATGTCCCAAACCGTGTTGAGTGGAGGAGTTCAGGCAACAGAGATTCACTCTTATCTTTCAGCAAAGATGGAGGAAGGTAGTCGGGTTCAGGAGCCTTGTTTCGTTTCAATATGGAAAGCTAATGTCGAACCACTTACAAGGTAGGTGTGACATCTAGTCCCCACGTCGGCTCAGGCGATTCGGCAAGCGGCAGTATCGCAGCAGGCCTGCTGAACTGGTCCTCAAAATGTTCCGCCCAAATGGCTAGTCGTTGACGTTGAGAATGGATCAACTGCCCACCTTTCTCAGCTACTGTCTCACTAACCGATGGCTTCCTCGGACCCGTGTTCCGGATAAGCTGGCTGTTTCCAATAGCGCTGGCTCTCTCCATCTCACGGGTTCAGGGTCAACTCGAAGACTCCTTGTCAGACGTTGTTTGAGGGAGTTACGAATACGCTGAAACTTAGTGTAGTATAATTCAGCAGTCACAGACAGATCAGAGAGTGAGGAATCAAGACTTGGAAAAGCAGGTCTTATTCGTCTGTGAATAGGGACGAAAGCCAAAAGTGTAACGGATGGGAGAAGTGTAGTGGCAATGACAGATGCAAAAATGAATAGTATCACATTCTACCCCACTGATGTTTGGAAGGAATCATGTAGTAAATAAATGTTGCCTTATGGCGGAAGCGGTGTATGGAAACAGCGTTGTTAAAGATTTTTGACCCGTGGGCAGCAACGTTTCACGCGAGAAGAGTTAGTGTTCAAGCCTCTGTTTCTAAGACAATATGGACGCACGCGCTGTTGAAATGCATCAAGTTCACTCTTCGGGGATGATGGCTTTGTAAAATTTGGTTGAGCATTGGATCAGTAGATAATAGAGAGCAGAAGAAAGTTCCTTTGTCAGTTCCGTCACTTCCCGATCGTTGCGGAGATAGCCTGAGTCATTGCAGAACAAGGTCTCACAAAGAGCCAGTGAAGTTGCATTGGAAACAGCCGGATCCCCGTAAATTTAAAGGAGAATCTAACAAATGCTTGAAACGTTTTTCGGTCTCGGCATCGACAATGGACTCCGGAAAGCGGTTCGAGTCATTCACAACGCGAGTGGATAAAGCCAGGCTGAATCGTACTTATGACTCCTCGGTTTGAACAGTTTCAAACTGGGGCCTCTTGTCGAGCTCTCTGTGTTGAGAGGAAAGAATTCCTGTAATTTCCTCCTCAACTCTCCTCTAAGAATATGTCGGGTGAAGATCAAGTCTCCGCGATGACGACGGGAATCCAGAAAAAGAGCTTCAGTTGTTTGAGTCGGCGAGAATAGGACAGGTCCCACAGCTCAGGAAAAAATTTGGATCCACGCCGTTGAACCTTCGCAACCATATCACATTCGAATTCCGTAAAAGGGTAGGCAGCAGGTATCCCGGATTCGAGAAGCGAGCGTACATTTGAAGTAAACAGGAGTCGGAAGAGCCCCGGGGTCGGGTGAGAGAAGGGTCTACGTATAAAGTGAAACAGCCTGTAGGCCGCATCGTCCTTTTTATTGGTATCTTCATTAGATTTGAGGTCAGGCGAAAGTATCACTCCCAGATCCTTCTCCTGAGTTGCGTTTCTGAGCAAGGAACCACCAATATGTCAGATTCCAAATGGGTCAGACGCACCAACTGGAAGAACCGAATATTGCTCACGATTTATTGGCAACTGTCACTTAATTGACCAATCATGTAGCAAGTCGAGTGTCGATTGTAACCTGTCAGCATTGTCCATATTGGATACCTCCATCCACAGCTTCAGATCGTCGGCATAGATTAGGCAATCCGCCTGCAGTGTGCACGGTAAGTCATTGATGAAGACGTTGAAAAGGAGGAGGATAGAACCCTGTGGGACTCTACTAGTCATGAGAACAGGGGC